CTCTCTCTCTCTCTCTCTCCCTCCCTCCCTCCCTCCCTCTCTCCTTTCTCCCCTCTCATGTGCACAAGCACATGTGCCCTCTGGCAATTAAAAAAAAGTTACGTTAAAATGTTTTTCTTTTAGGGCCAGTAGATGGCATGGTGGTTAAGGCGCTGGACTCCCACATGATTGACCATGGTTCAAGTCCCAGAGCTGGTGATCGAAACTCGTGCAGGGGCGTGTGTGCACACACCCGAAATCCCAAGACAAGAGACTGTCCCCCCTACAGGACAATTTCTCACTTTCCCTCTCACCGTCTCTCTCTGTCACTCTCCTGTGAGCCCACTCGCTTAATGGCAAACAAAACAAAACCAAAAAAATTGTTTTTTCCGTTAAACCATAACATTAATATGACATGTAAGTAAAACGGGCACATTAAAAGGAGCATCAGAGATGTTAGAGGACATCGTCCCTTTCCACGGGTGCCATGGAGCACTTTCTCCATAACCGTCTAACGGTCCCCACACTCCTTGCTCCCGTCTGCGGAGGGAGACGGCCGCTGTAGCTCAATGCTCCTTTCTGGTGCGAGAGTAAATGCAAACCAAGAAAGGACATGATTGTCCCTAGCGCAGAAGGGAAGAGGACACCTTTCTCCCTCTACTTAGGGTACTTAGCAATACCATGGAGCACCTGCCATTGTGAACCCTTTCTCTGCCCCTTCCGGATGTCTGTAAATCTTTTTAAAAGCTACAAAAGCCTCTGGCCTCCTGAAGGGTTAGGGAACTCCTCATCAAGGCCAGGAAGCCACCTCTTTGAAATGCAAACAAACAAAGAAGGCCCTACCTCCCAGTTTCCGTGGGAGGCTAAGCCCAGCTCTGGCAGGTGCCTAATTCCAGTTGCAAAACCACCTCCTGTCATAAAGACACCAAAGGTCTATTTATGTTCTGTTTGTTTGCTTGTGGCTACAGAGCACATGCTCCCACAGCTGCAGAGACACAGAGAAAGAGGTAAGGTGAGAAATCGCCCCTGCCGCACAGGGGAGTGGCCACACCACAACCCCTGCCCCTCCATTCTTTTCTCAGGATTCTCCATTCTCTTCCCAGGATTCTGGGCATGCATCCACACGCACCCACCAAGTTTCTCAAGTCGTCAGGTTGGGACTCAAATTTCACAGCTGGCCAGCGCCCTAACTACCACACTACCTGCTGGCCCCAGAAGTTCTATTTTTCTCTTGTATGAAGGCAGTGAACACAGACGGCCGCCCCGATTACCGAGTGAATTTAGGGTGAACCATGAGACAAAGTGTGCTGGCCCGGCCGCCTCCTGAGGACTCGTGAGGGTTAGCTCGGACGCTTGGACTCGTGCATTGCAGCTGCTCACCTATAACGAAGGGTAAGATCTCCTTCTGTCAAGCTGTTCTGTCTCCCATCCCTCAGCCTGTGTCATCTAAGAGCACTAGTTAGGACAGGAAAATGAAAGGGCCATGTTAGGAATGCCCCCATCTTCTAATAGTAGCTTTGAAATGTCACATGGAACCACTGTGTGAGAACTTCGTAGGTCTTTAACACAAACCGGACTCTTCTGACTCACAGCCAAGTATACAATACTGTTTTCTCACATAGACTCATTAAGTTTGGCAGTGCCAAAAGAACGAAGGATTCTAAGTCAGGTTAGGTGGCCTTGGGTCCCAGCCCTGCCACTTAGGGGCTGCGTGGCTTTGATCAAGACACTCTGAACTTGAGTGATTCTTTTAAATGAATCCTTCCCATTGTCGCCCTTCACAGAATGCATCAAGGCGTGCTTACACTTCTGCCAGGCCTCCACCCGCTGGAAGAAAGTACAGCCCTGGAGCAATGAATGCGACCAGACGGCTGCTACGTGTGTGCAGGGAAATACCGAAGCGCAGCTGTGTAGGCCAGCCAGCGGGGTGTGTGTGTGTGTGTGTGTGTGTGTGCACGTGTGCACATTTGTGTCCACACACATGCGTAGTGCCATATTAAAAACAGACTCACCTGAGCAGTTGCCCAGTCTCCAGTCTATACAAGGTGCTCGAACATAACCCTACACATGTAACAGGATAAAGGAAACAAGTTTCCCATGCTCTCTGCTCAGAACTAATACTCTCTACAGCTAGAAGGAATATTTTTTTAATAAATAATTATTTATTTAATTCCATTTGCTATTATTATTATTATATTTTTTTTTTGACCAGAGAGAAAGAGAGAGAGAGAGAGAGAAAGGGTAAGTGAGAAAGGAAGCCACCAGGTCCAGGACTCAAACCATGGTCAGCCATGTGGGAGTCCAGCACCTTAACCACCATACCACCTGCTACACTGCAGGGAAGAGAGTAGGACCACGGGGAGCATGCTTGGATTAAACCACCGAGTTGCCGCTGAACTAAAAGGAGGGGGCTGCCCTCTGCTGATTGGAGAATGCAGTTTATGGCGGGTGTGAAACCCTGTGAGGACCAAGTGGAGGAGCTGAGCACTGTGGCTGAAGGCCCCCTTTCCCAGTCTTTGCCCCTCCTGGTCCACTGCCTTCCTTCCAAATGTATGTCAAAATGTTGGTTTGAAGAGACCCACGGGCCCAGTCAGTGGCACAAGCGATGAGGCTCTGGCTGTGCTGGCTGGGGCGACATGGGAGGCCGGGCTTCGAACCTCAGACCATCCTGAACAGGCCAGTGCAACAGCCATGCTCCTGGTATTCCAGCAAACTGAGAGGCCAGGGCAGAGGGTTGTGATGGGGAGATGCTGTCAAAAATGCCTGCCTCTCTCTCTCTCTATCTCTCTATCTATCTCTCTCTCTCTCTCTCTCTCTCTCTCTCTCTCTTACTAACAGAAAAAAGAAAAAGAGATGCGTCCAAGCTGTGGTTTAGCCACTGTACAAACCACACATTATGGACGCTTGTCACTCTGCTTATCGTCTTTGGAACAACCCATTAGGAAGTCCAAGTTCAATGGACAGAGACTAACGAGCCACTCCTGTACTTTTTAACTGAGCTGTGTATGCGTTTACAGGCTCTAAGACAGTCCGCCGCAGAGTGGGATCTGGCACAAGACACATCCATCATTGGGACCCCACCGGAGGGCTTTCATCATGGCACTGCCATTGCCCAGGTCCCCTTGCCATGGCCGGACCCCCTGTAAGCAGCGCTTACCCTGACTGATGGGATACTCTGTGATTGGAGCTTCCTGCACACTGCCCGGCTGATGGCTTTTTATAGTTTTTTTTGCCAAAGGGCATATGCACTCGGAGAAAGACAAAGAGACAGGGAGAGGGAAAATGAGAAATCACCCTGGGTGGTTGGGGGTGGGGAGATGGCCACACACAATCCCTTCTCCTCTTGGGGTTTTGGGCAAGTACACACACGTGCCCAGCATGAGTTTCAAATTGCCAGGTCCAGGACTCAAACTGCGGTCAGCCGTGTGGAACTCCAGCACCTTAGCCACCAGGCCACCTGCTGACCCTGGTTGATCACTATTGCAGGTCTGCTGGCTCTCCTCTTAAAGCAGCCTCAGCTTTACAGAGCCTGGGCCAGGAGAGGAGGGAGCCAGGGAAGGGGGAGAAGCCAAAGACACACTTCACCTGCTTCCCAGCTGCCATGGGCTCCCCTCGGTCCTGCTCTTGGTTTCGTGGCTGCTGGCCCTACTGCCTCCGTCCTCCTAACAGGAATGAGACTGGAAATTCCTGCTAGGCTCCAGCTTGGAGAACTCCCTGAAAGTACACTCAATGGCATGTACCTCGAAATGGCATCTCCATGGTAACAAGAGAAAATAGTTTTAAAAATTATCTTCTAATTTAGAATTTGATGAATTTGGGTCCTCAGTTATCATTCTTGGGGGAGAAAAGCACAAACTCCATGGGGTGGCATCTGGTTGTATTTACAAGTCTGAGAAGCCCATCCAAAAGCCGACGGCAAGTCAGTCCACACAGAAAGGACTGAAGCCACAGAGCCTCGTTTCGGGCCTGGTTCCGGAGATGTCACCCCAGGAGCCCCTCCTCAGTGAGTTGACCTGCAGGACGTTACTTCCCACCTTCCCCCCTGCCCTTACCTTAGCTGCTGGAAGGCAGGCTCGTCTCCCCCAAGGAGAGTGCATGCTGTCAGGACTCCATTCGGCTTCCATTAGCTCCACACGGAGGTCCCTGCTCAGGGGGGCGCTGGCCCACGGTGGCTCTTGCTCTTGCTCCCAGCTTCCTCGTCCTCAGCAGACTCAGCCACGGCTTAGCGGCTGCAGGCAGGGGCATGGCTGGCTCCCCCCTGGTCTTGCCCTCGGTGTGCTCCCTTTTCCCGGTCTTGCCCCTCAGCCGAGCCCTTCCCCACCCATTTCCTCTCCTCCATCTTCCTTTCCTCAGTGCTGTCTGCAAAGGCTCCAGGAGAGGCTCATTGTTGGGTGGCAGAATTGTGACACCCCACTGGGGTTATGACATCAGCAGAGGAGAGGGACAAGAGAGCCGGTGAGACTGTGCCGGGCTGCTGCCAGGACCGGGCCTCAGAATGGAGCCCAGTCGACATGAGGCCAAGGGAAGGTTGGGAGCAGGGCAGAACAAATCCTTTCACAAAGTCGGCTTCTCCCCACCCAGTTCTGGATCCACGGCAAGCTAATTAGGAGGGACTTTTAGTTCGGAAAGATCTACTCCTTGGGACTGGATGATGGTGCAGGGGTAAAACATGCCACTGTTCAAGGTTGATCCATGCGGGAAGGTTCCAGGTCCATGCCCAAGGACACCCCCTCCACCCCCCCCCCGGCCCCGAGGACACTGAGCACACACCAGCCAGAATCCAGGGCTGGCTGAAGCTGGGGATGGGGCAGATCACAGTGTCAAGACCCTGCTGGGAGGGCTGTCTTTTTCTCTTTCTCTGTCTCTCTGTCTCACTTATAGAAGAATTAAATAAACTTTAAAAAAAAAAAAACTAAAAGCTACCCTCCAACAAACTGAGATGTGAAGGGAGGGAATTATGAGGTCACCTGGAAAGCCATGACATTTTTCTACATTTTTCTATGCAAAAATGTGTCAGGACTTTCCCGACAATCCAGTACTTTCCCCATTTTTTAACAAAGCCTGGAAATTAGGTGTTACCTACCAAGTCTAATATTAACAGGTTTCTGGGACACACGTTGGCTAGGAATAGCACCAATCCTGAGAAATTAAGCTATCAGTGAGCTCTTTGGAATGCCTAAATTGGAGGGAGAAGTGACGAATAATTACAGGTCATAACTATTGAACAAAAACTGAGGTTTTTAAATGGTGCTAAAATGGGAAGCTATTAAACAGAATGGAATCCTCTAGAATTCAACCTACTCTGACATGAGCCTGCGGGGTCGGCTCAGATGTGACCCTGAGCACCCACACCTTTTGCTGCCCTGGAATCCCCGTGTGTGCCTTTCTTCCGGGTCTTTACAACGCAGATGCTAGGACCCGAGGGGGTCTTCTCTTGTAGCGATTTCCTTCAGCATGATGGGAATGCCTGGGACCAGCCGTGCTCCAGCAGAGCGGAAGAAGCTTGGAAATAGTTCAGGGCCCTGGACCTTCTCATCTTCTGGGAACTTGCAGCGCCAGCTCTCCTGGTCCTCCAAATGCACACGGCCTGCCCGCCCCTTCACTGGTATGGTGTCTTTGAACCTTGACAGAAAGGGTGCATCTGGAAGGCAGGCTATTACAAGCAAGAGGCATCTTTCTGTTGTCTCTCGTGCACGGGCCTGGGACTGATGTGCGTTACCGCAGTCCTATCGAGCATGTGCAGTAGTATTCCAAGGCAGAGCAGGAGAATCTAGCAACGGTGTGGGCATTGCACAGCACTTCGGCACCATGCCACTGGGCAACGTGCCTTTTAGTAAGTCGGGTGCAAATCTAGCACCCTCCTACCCTGTAGGAGAGAATGCGGTTTGCACCTAAAATAGGTATGAATCATTTCTGCTAAATACTAGGCTCTCCTGTAGCATCTCCAGACCATGTCTCCCTTCTTTACTGAACTGTGGGGGCTAAACAATACTCACTTGCTTCTGAAGTCACGGCTGTCATCCCCCCGAGTGCACAAAGAGCTACTGTGACCAGAGGGCTGGTGTGTGAGCCGGCATGTTTAGGGGCCGTGAGGCTCCATGTGTGTGATTCCTCGTCTAACAGCAGAACAAGACCGGTAACTTTGCGTGTCCCAGTCCTGAGACGTGAGGCTGTGCAGGTGTATGCTTGTTAACCTGGAACAGAGGAGGCCATTCCTTCTGGTCTTTTCTGAAGGTCAGCCCACACTCACAAAACAGCCCTCAGTGCTGGCCAGGAGGGCCGTTCACCTACTCAGAGCACTGCCCAGCGTGAAAGGGAGGGCAGAGCACCCGGGGAGCAACAACCCTCGCTGCTGACCCTAACGGAACCCAGCGTGGGGAACGGAGACACTCGTCTGTGGAGTCAAGGGCTCTGCAGGATGAAGGTAGCTAGATTGGGGATCGCTATAAACAGGACCTGTTAAGGGGCTGGCCAGTGACAGAGCAGTATACAACACTCTGCGGTGCTGGGCCCATGTGATAAGGTCCTAGGTTCACACCCTGAACCTTCCCTGTGCACGGGTATGCACATGCCGTGATCCGGGCTGGCAGATGCTGAGGGCAAATCACAACTGGAAGACCCTACTGAGGGCATTCTCGCTCCCACTTTCTCTCTCCCTCAGAAGAAATAAAAATTAAATTAAACTTAAAAAACTTATGAGTAAGTCCAGCCAGGGAAGAGATGACCCAGGCTACCTCTGGGGACTGGACGCTCCCAGCTGGACCCCTGGAAAGGGCCGTTCGCCCCTGCACTCTGCTGCGTTAATGCTCCTCCCAGCCCCAACTCGCGGACTTAGCTCTCTCCTTTTCTCTGCCTTCCCAAACCTACCCGAGAATTCCATGTTAGCCTTTCCCATTCCCACACTGAGCAGCTCACAGACGAGTCTACGTAGACAGACACTCTGGCTTCCATAAGCTGCCCTGACTCCCGCCGCGCCCAGAGATACTCACTCTCCTTCCCCACTCCCCTCCAGGTGGGATGTTTGTGGGCAGAGGTGGCAGAGACTTCTGAGAACAGAGGGACAGAGAACTCTGGAAGTCTGAGCTTCGAATCTGCGCTCGGGCCAGAACTCAGATTCTGCCCATGAGGTAACCCAGAAAGGCCCCGAGAGAAAGCGGCTGGCCACAGTCTCCATGCCACGTGTCCTAGACCTCTGCCAGGCTTCGTGTTTTTGCCTCCCAGGGCAGTGATAGTAGAGGCCCAGGAAGAAAGCCCAAAGCTCTCTCTGGAGTCCGAGGTGTCCTGGACGGGGCATAGCTCTGGGGACTGGAGGCCTGGGTTCTGGTCTGTTCTCCGTGAGAGTCCCCCAGGTTTCCTGGGAACCTCAGTGCCTGCGTTAGAAAGCTCTGACCATGTCATTTACATGTTTATAACATGACCTCAGGTCATGGATGATCTTTCACCCTAACCCCAACACACACACGCTCACACACACATGCACACACACACATGCACACATACACACTGTCCAGTAGCTCTCGGTCTCAGCTTCATAACACCCAGGGTATCTCTAATCATCTTAAGGGCCTTTAAGATCTTTCCAGAGGAAAGAACTACTGCAAATTCTTGATCATTTTAAAGGAGGTGACATGACACCCGGTACAGTCTCCTCTCCCCTCTCTCCACTGAGGACGTGTAAGTGACAACGTGGGCACTGCTCACCTAATTAGAGGAAGTTCTGAGCCCAGTCAAGACAGAGCACGCCTTGGGAGGGGCGGGGCAGGGAGTGAGGAATGGCCCTCGGGGACTTGCCCTGGGCTGTCACCATGAACACAGGCTGTGTGTGTGGGCAGCAGTGCCCCAAGTTTCCGAGCTATGAGCCCTCATGTCCACCTGGGCTACGGTGATCTCTTCTCCCACACCCTGCTTCGTGAGGCCTAATCCACCACAGTCCGGCCGCTCAGTCGGAGCTCAGTCAGCTGCAGTGTTTTCAGGAGCCCCAGAGACAGACGGGCCAGCTGGCGAGCAGTGGGATGAGGGAGCATCGTCTGACAGACACATGCGGCCTCCTGCGCGGCCCTAGATGTTGGGCCACGTGTCAGAAGCCACCGCTGCCCTGGCTCCAGTTCTCTTCCAGGTCTAGGCTCGGGCCACTCTGGCTGCATTTATTTCCATACGTTTACCCCATTCCCTTCCACCGCAGGGCCTTAGCACGTGCTATAGCCTGGCATGGACTCCCCTGCCCTCTGCACTGGCTAACTGCCACTCACTCCTCAATCTCAATTCAAGAATCACTAACCCAAGGCCAGCAGGTGGCATAGTGGTGAAAGTGTTGGACTCGCACAGTGCTGGCCAACTGCAGTTCAAGTCCTGGACCCGGTGGCTTGAAAATCACACCAGGCGTGTGTGTGTGTGTGTGTGTGTGTGTGTGTGTGTGTGTGTGCATGCCCCAAATCCCAAGAGGAGGCTAGAGAAGAAGGGATTGCAGCATGGCCAGCTCCATTTCTCACTTTCCACCTCTCTGTCTCTCTCCAGTGAGCACATGCTCCCTTTGGCAAAAACTTAAAAAAAAAAAAAAAAAAAAAAAGCTGCTGCTGTTGTGGAGCACCTACCAAGTACCACACACTGTGCTAGATACTCAAACAGAAATGGCCTTCTCTCTCCTGCAGCATCTGTCTGGGGAGGGACGCGAGAGCCGCATACACAAATGGAACGTACTTTGAATACAAGGTACGTGGACAGTGACAGAGAGTAAGAGTAACTCGGGAGGAGCCGCCCGCCCACTGGTGGGAGCAGGGACTGGTAGAAAGTGGATTGGCACTATTGTAGACACCACAAGGAGACATCGCTATAAGACAGTACCCTTAGGGTATTTCCTCTTTATTTATTTATTTATTTCAAAGAGGTTTTTTGCTATAGGGCACATGCACTTGCTGAAGAGACAGAGAGAGACAGAAAGCAAGAAATCACCCTCCAAGGGGGATGGCCACGCCGCAATCCCTTCTCCTCCATTCTCCTCTTGAGATCTTGAGCACGTATGCATATGTGAGTTTTAAGCCACTGGGTCCAGGACTCAAACCTTGGTCAACTATGTGGGAGACCAGCGACACAACCATTACACCATCTGCTAGTTCCAGGTATCTCCTTAAAACAAACTATAGCAAACAGAGAATGACTGTTAGCGTAATACTCTAACCAGGTGCATTATTGTATCTGCTCGTGCATATGCGTGTCCCTAATCACGCTCCGATGGTGTAGGCTAAATTTGAAATGGGGTGGCTGTCAGAGCCAGCACAGTGCAGGTCTGGATGAGAGGACAGTGCTGTCACCAGACACCTGCATGTAGCTCTGTTGACCAGGCAGACAGACAAGACAGCCCCAGGGCAGGATG